GTCTGCAATCTAGAAGACTTACATTTAGGTGCTCATTCGAGGAAACATAGAAGTTACGGTTATTACCTAGGATGAAGAGATGACGTATGGAATGATTATACAAGCCCAACTTCGTTGATGATTCCGGGATGTAATCACCCTAAGGGGGAGATAATTGTAATGCCTGTAGATCAGGGCTAGTCAATTTAGAGACGATAAGCGTCAAACACTGAATTTTGATAGAATATTATTTAGAATGAATAATTTTAACTAAGTTGTAGTATATGTTACAAGGATTCCGTACATATAAAGAACGCCGAAATCCGAGTTATAACGAAGAAGTTATGACCCGTCGAAGTTTCGCAACAGAACCGGCACAACGTTGAATGACGTAAAATATGAATTTAAGATAGAGCGATATCTAGCGATAGTGATATTAATGAAAGTCGTAGAATATGTTAAACCGAGAGTGTGCATAAAAAGAACGTCCAAATCTGACTTCGTATGAGGAAGTTATGATTTTCCGAAGTTTCGACTTAGCCGTATGCAGCTTGAATACTCAAATATGAGATCGAGTGATTTTTAGCCAAAACAAGCTAAAAAGAATCGAAGATCTCGTCGATAGTAGTCCAATGGTAAAAAGACAGGCGAAAACGGACGTCGTATGAAGAAGTTATGTATTTCTAATGGAGTTTTCATGTCCCGCCCTACTAAAAATAATATAAAAGTAATATATTTACAATATATTAAAAATAAATTCAAAATTAGCCATCGAAGTCTAAATGAGAGTCGTAGAGCATATTCTTTCCTACGCATTGATATAAAGAACGTCGAAAACGGAGTTTGTATAAGAAAGTTACGACTTTCTAAAGTTCGGGGCGAGAACCCCAAAGTTGTGTCAGTGGCCACGACGTGGCCCACGATGTGGCATGTTTTCTGATGTCTCCTAGAGTCTGCCAGACCCAACTTGCGATGACACATGCAGTGACGACCAAGCCCACGACGTGGAAAAAGTGCCCACGACATGGAAAATGAGAAATTAGCCCTATAAATAGATTTGAAGGGGCAGCCGGCCAAGGTTGCTAATTCACCATTCTCTCACCCATATTGCCTCGATTTACATGAAAATAAGTACCCCCAAATCCCCAGTATCATCCCGAGACCCGTCGCCCGAAGATCCCGAGAAGAAAAGAGTTTCTGAGCCGAAGCTCTGCTTGCAAGAAGTCTGGTGTGTGAATATATCTCGGTTTCACCGAAGAATACTACTCTTAGAACTGTAGTGCTGTCCGATCATCTTCTGATCAAGTGAGTGTATAGCCCCTTTCATAAACACGATATTAATACAAGTATTGTTTGAATGTATTAAGTATACGTTTTGGGTGAGTGTGTAGTCACTCTCTTCTAACACATAAATATGAAGTATTTGCTATGAAATACGTGTTATGTGATTATATATTGTTGTTTATTTGAGATAAGTGTGGAATGGATGTTTTATATAGTTTTAAATGAGTCAAAATGTATATGTGTTTTATATATACAAATATGTTGGGTAGGACATGAGTAGATGAGATCCGTGAGTATGGATAAGATTAGGGATGGCAACGGGGCGGGTTTGGGACGGGTTTTGGTAATCCCGCCCCCGTCCCCGAATATGAAAATCGATCCCATCACCGGCTCGATTCCCAACGGGTATCCGTTTACCAAACACTATCGGGTCTGCGGATATCCCAACGGGGTAACGGGGATCCCCGTGTAACATTCAAATTAAAAATAATTTTGATGAAATGAGAATACAAACCATTAGACTTAGTGATGCAAACATAAATTCATATCCAAAATAATTTTGATAATTTACAAAACTACTAAGAGAATACATATTTGTTCTGATACATAAGTGGTTACTAGTGACAACAAAAACAATAAAGACACTAGCATTCATAAACCATAATATCACTATTACTCTAAGTAATATGAATAAAAAAAATGTCAAAACACTAGCATTACAAATAAACACAAAGCTATCTCAAGAAATTATCTTTAAATCGTTCACAACAAAGAAGATAACTCAAAGAAATTAATATATATATATATATATATATATATATATATATATATATATATATATATATATATATATATATATATATATATATATATATATATATATAAAATCATATTAACGGTTTCATGTAACGGGTTTCGGTTTTGGTTTTGGTTTTGTGTAATCGGGACGGGTATTTTGTTTACCGTCCCCGTAACCAAACCCGCGAATTTTTTCTAAAAGCATACCAAACCCGATCCCGATCCCAATTAACCGACCCCAAACCCGACCTTAATATGTCGGTTTTCGGTTTTCACCATCGGGTTCGGTTTCCTTTTCCATCCCTAGATAAGATGAAGAGGTTAGTTTTAGATCCGTGGGTATGGATCAGATCAAGAGGTTAGTTTTAGATCTGTGAGTATGTATTAGACCAAGAGGTTAGTTTTAGATCCGAGAGTATGGATCAGGTAAAGAGATAAACTTGCTATTAGTCTGGGAGTATGGATTAAGACTAAGTTAATTGTCGCTAGTCCGGGAGTATAGATTGGGCACAATTATAGATCCATGAGTATGGGACAGATATGGATTAACACTAAGGTAATTGTCCCTAGTCCGGGAGTATGGATTGGGCACAGTTATTGATCCGGGAGTATGGATCAGATCAGGATTAAGGTATAGTTAATTGTCCTTATTCCGGGAGTATGGATTGGGTACAATTATTGATCCGGAAGTATGGATCAGATCAGGAGGATAGTTTTAGATCTGTGAGTATGGATCAGGTAGTTTTAGATCCGTGAGTATGGATCAGGTAGTTTTAGATCCACGAATATGGATCAGGGGAAAAGCTTAGTTTTAGATCCATGAGTATGGATCAGGTGAAAAGGTTAGTTTTAGATCCGTGAGTATGGATCGGGTGAAGAGGATAGTTTTAGATCCGTTAGTAGGGATCAGGTAAAGAGGAAAATTTTAGATACGAGAGTTTAGATCGTGTCGTTGTGAGGATCGATGGGGTGGGATAAGAGTTGCCTTTATATGGTGTAATTGTACAAGTTTGAATGTTCTATTTATATAAACATATGATATAACATTGTGGGATGAAAACCCTATATGCTCACTAGGCTCCCAAGCTTGACCCACTCAGTTTTATTTGTATTACAAGTTATGCCACGAGAGCATAAGTTGGTTGACATGACGAGAGATAATGGATTATAGGCCAGTAGTTATAAATAACTGTTGTAAGGTCTAATCTGTTCTGTTTATGCTTTTGGTCTAAATCGGAACATGACATCCTGCAATTTTATTATATAATGAAAATACATTTATTTAAGAAATGCTTTGATAAATTCATATCATATTTTGTTTTAGGAATAAATTCCGCAACCGTTTTTTTAAACGATTACTCTGATTTTAAACAAAGCATAAATAAATCGGTCTTTTTCGGCCGTGAAATTAGGGATGTCACATTCATTATATAAATATAATAAACTATAAAATGATTTTGAGCTTCCAAAATTCATCAAAAAAACATTTTTTAAATTGTTAGTATAATGTTTTTAAGATGCCATAACTTTTTTTAATTTTTAACATGTAAAATTTTATTATAAATAATTATTTGTTATCTAAAAAACAGTTTCTTTTATCGTAAATAACAATTTCTTTTAACAAAAAAAAAAAAAAAGACAGCTCAAAATAAATCGGGGGCGGGTGTAAAAAAGCTGAACATTTCGGGGGTGGGGGCAGGGACGGGGAACAAAGAAATTTCGGGGGCAGGGGCAGGGGATGCAGTCCTCGTCCCGTTTGCCCCCGTTGATATCCCTACCAAATACTTCTAAACTAGGTAATAAATGAAATATATTGAATACAATCAAGTCATGTAGGGATAAAATAATAACATTCTAGAGGGTAATCTGAAAATAAATTGCCTTTCTCGAATTAGGGTGAAATTTGTGCGTGTATTGTTGAAAAGCTGAAGCGAATATAGCCAAGTTAGAGCTCAAAATTTTAAAAATGCTTACCTGAAAAACAAGAGTGTCTCCCAGATGGTGTGGCGATCCAGTTTTATGGGTGTTTGCGTTTAGAACAATCAAATGCGTTGTAGACAGATGGGCGTTTAAGTGATGTGGAGCACCTGGAACAAACAATGTGTTGTGTTGTGCTATACACGGAAGCATAGAAGAAGAGGAAAAGGGTTTAAATAAAAGGTGAGGCGTTGAAGGAGAAACGATGATAAAATAGAATCGACGTAGTGGTACGTTGCATCGTTTTGAGGGTGGGTTACGTGGAGGTATTAGAACAGTGCGAGTTGGTTATAGGCGGCATCAGAAAATTAGGGTGTGCAGTGGATGTTTTTGGTTCTGAGAGAACGGGCACTAAATGATTTGATGGATTGTGCAGGCCATCCGAGGTCCGACGGAACCAATGCATCCTTCAAAGGTGAATGTGAGGAGGATACGTCATAGTGGATCGTAAGGTAATTTGAATCGACATTAATGTCGACAATGTCCTTCCAGAAGGTTGGTTACGTGGCATCGAAAGAACCGAGTGAATTTAATTTAGAAGGCATGAGAAAATTAGTGGTTTCATATATATATATATATATATATATATATATATATATATATATATATATATATATATGTTTTTGGTTTTTGCAAGATATTTATGTTTTCGCATGAAACTACTTTTTTATATATATATATATATTATATATATATATATATATATATATATATATATATATATATATATATATATATATATATATTCGTGATGTTGAAGGAAATGCGACCAGGTATTGAAAAAGGCATATATTTGGACATAGAGAGTTAAAAGATCTATTATTTTACGATACATTTTAACTGCATACTTCCATCGAAAGAAGTTGTGCTAATTATTTGACATATAAGCAATACGTAATGCATAATTGCATTGTGAAACATCTTTTTAGTACATGACTCAAAAGATGGTTCTTTCTTGGTGCTTAGTTTTGAGTTTGTTTGTAAGTAGTCGCCTCTGCAAATGTGCTGCAACACCTGCACCCTCTTCTTCCGTAGGAACGTCCACCACCGCAGCAGCCATGCCTGCAACCTCTGTTTCCTCCACCGTTGTTGTTCCCTCCTCGTCCACCGCCATTGTCATGTCCTCCACGTCCACCGCCATTGTCATTTCCTCCGCGGCCACCGCCATTGTCATGTCCTCCACGTCCACCACCATTGTCATTTCCTCCACGTCCACCGCCATTGTCATTCCCTCCACGGCCACCACCATTGTCATTCCCTCCACGTCCACCACCTCCGCTGTATCCACCACGTCCACTATCGTTAATCTCACCTGCAGCCAACTCCTTAGCTGCAACCACTTCGGAGGTAATGAGAAGGACAACAGAAAAAGCTAGAGCAAGAAAAAGGAAAGCTCTTGGAGCCATTTTCACTTGTTTACTACAGAAGGAAATATATGGAAGAGGGATGTGGAAATTAGTGTGTTATACGTCTCTATATATAGAAGGTTTTATATATGAATGAAAAAGTTATTGCTATGCCCTACTCCTTATATAGTGGTTGGGTGTTGAGGATTGGGGCCAAGATTGCAGGTTCTTTGACAATTCGCAACCAATTCTTATCCTTTCCCTAATTTAAATTCTTATTTAAGTGTTTTTCGTAACATACTGCCATTTTTTTGCATGTGATTGAATTGTATTATTCGTAGTTTTTATTTTTAAATGAAAACTATTATAAGCTGCCGACAAAACAAGGAAGAAGAAAACAAAGAAACATAAAGGCGAAATTGACTTAACTAGTAGGGTTTAGAGTACAAAACAATTTAATGTCATAAAATGTCACGCTATAAACCCATCCATATTTTCCATAAACTTTTGAATCGTCTTCTTTATTTATATTTTTAACATATATTTTTATATTAAATAAGAAAACACATTAATAACAAATTTTATTATACATATTACAGCAAAATCAAATATATGACAACAACGAAAGTGTTAAAAAAATAAAACCAACGACAACTCATGGTTTCCCAACCAAAATAAAAACTATTTTTTTTAATGTTATTATGTAAAAAAAAAAAAAAAAAAAAAAAAAAAAAAAAAAAAAAAATTCCCAACCAAAGTAAAAACTAATATCGATTATTTATTTTGATCATATTTTAAACATATAGATGCTATATTTTTAGTAGTGTAATTTTTTTATTTACTTTTTGGTATATTTTCTTATATATTAAGCACATGTAAGAAAATGGGTAGGTCATAAAATAAAAATAAATAAAAATGAAACATAGGAAGCTGTAATTCTGTAAAGATAAAAAATTAATGCAAAAGATATAACTTTAGGTTGTGGCCCCGCATATGGTAACTTTCACCAAAATTTGAATCGGTCCAAGATTTAACAAAAGATTTTTTTGGAGCATTCACACAGGAAGGTTGTTTGAAAAAAAATTAAGAGATTTTTCTTACTAAAATCAAATTAGAGTAAAAACTTTACGGGAAGATTTTATTATTATTATTATTATTATTATTATTATTATTATTATTATTATTATTATTATTATTATTATTATTTTAAGGCTAACCAATCTCACTGAATTTATTAATAAACAAGTTTTTATTATGACTTTATGAGCTTTTTCAATAAGTTAATGGTTATATAGGTTAGCCAATTAAAAAAAACACATAGAAATAAACTGTAAAAAACCACAAAACCATTTTGGAAACCTTCTTTTAAACCAGGTCAAAAATATCTGTAAAAGCCATATATATATATATATATATATATATATATATATATATATATATACTTATTTTCCTTTTAAGAGGCCATTATAGTAATATATATATATATATATATATATATATATATATATATATATATATATATATATATATATAATGGCCTCTTAAAAAGGAAAATAAGTCTATAAACTCGCAACTCATAAATAGTATATTAAAATATTATTAATTTATATATGTATTAAAATATTTAATTTCTTATAAAAAAAATTCCTATAAAAAAATCGCCTATAGATTGCATGCTTTTGTTTTTTCTCCTATTGTTCAATGCATGTCAATTTTCCTACATTTATTGTATCTTTACAAATTTCATTTGGAAGGACTTGCATTATTGGTTCGTGTGAAACGAAACCAAAAGGAACTTCAGCGACCAAAAGAGAGTGAGTAACGTCGCACATTTTTGACTTCTTATTCCCGTATCTTTACTTTCCTAATAACGGATTTCTTGCAACATAATATAAGTATTTTTACTACATTACCAAAAAAATGATGCGATGGTTTTTCTTTCTGAAAATTAAATCAAATATACCTATTTATTTTGTTTGAAGCAACAAGATTTAAAAAAATAATAAACCGGAACTAGAAAGATGTTCAAAAAAAAAAAAAAAAATACAAAAATATGATTACAATGTCAAAGAGAAAGCTTCGAGGATACCACGTACTACACCAATCTATTATCGGGTATTGACGGGTATTACTCAATATTTGAACAGGATGGAGACCTGATGTATACATGTTAATATGTTATGTGTGTGTATGTATTATTTAGTCATCCAGATCATTTTTCATACACACACACTTCCTCTCCGAGTAAACTCTCTTTAGATTAGCTTTTGTTCATATGTTGTTGTTCAGAGTGTTGTAGCTATTGATTGTCCGGTTAATCTAGATTTGTTTTCGTTGCGTCTAAATCTTGAAAGTGAGTGTTTATCTGTAGTAAGTTTTCCTTGTAATGTGTATCTTCAAGACTTCAACTTTAAAAGAGTTTACGTTTTATAACATAAACACAAATTATAACCTCCCACGGAGGTTTTAGTATTTTATATAGATATAAGTCGGGAATAATTGATGTATAGCTGTTTGGTTGACAGGAACCGAATGAAATTCGAATGAAAAAATTTCAGTTCCCTCGAATTCATGCATTTAATTAGACTTATAGAGAGGAAAACGATTTTAAATGAAAGAAATTTTCCACTGTACCGAGAAAAGTTGATTCCTTTCAAAGTTGCATAAAAAACATTATTTCTTATCAATTAAAGTGACAAAATAAAAAATAAAAATAATAATCATTTTACTTATGAGAAAACCAACACCGACCACTATTGCTATCAACCACCAACCGTCACTTGCACCACCACCTACCTAGATCGCCACCAACACCGCTACCATCATCGTCGCCACCACTACCACCGTTGTCGTCGCCACTAGCCTCCATCACCTCTAACGCAACCAACATTGCCGCTGCCACCACCACCACTAGTGCAGTCACCATGACCACTACCATCACACACCAATACACACCAATACGATCGTCACCATTGTCACTAACATCTTTATCGCCACCGCCACCGCCACTGCCACCATCGCCGCCACCATCACTGCCACTGCCGTAGCCGCTGCGACCACTAACATCACCCATCGCAACTACCACCATCAGTAGTGGTGGCTGTAGTGGCAGGTGAAGGTGATGGCGGTGGCGGTAACAGCAGCAGCAGTGGTGGCTGGCGGCAACAATGGTGGTTGTTGTTATGGTGGAAGTGGAGGTGGTGGTGATCACTACCACTACCACTATTATTGTCATCGCCTCCACCATTACCATCACCCAACACTCCTGCCAACGCCGCCATCACCACCACCAACGCCACGGCCATCACTGCCATCATCGTCGCCGCCATTGTCGAGAATTTATAATTTTTATAATCTTTAAAATGTATCTTTACATATAAGTTAGAAAATAAAGTAAAAAATTGAGCAACTCAGAGAAAAAAGGTAATTGTGTTATTTTTGATGGATTCCATTTTCATTTCATGTGTACCAAACACAATCTAGAATTAATTCGTATCAACCAAACAAGATATAGAATTGGATTCAAATTGATGATATATACTTTTTTCAATTCTTTCAAAAAGATTCTTCAAACAACCAAGGAGCCCTTTAGTCTCGGGGGACACACAACCAACTTAGAAAACAGTTTTTGTTCAAAGCTTACAGAAACTGCTTTCTTGAAGTAGAAAATACACATATTCATGCGATGGCTAAACCTTCAACATATTG